GTGAAGTGTTAGCCCCGCTGCTGAAGGTTCTGGATGGGGGATGGCAGGGACTGGTTATCTGAAACAGCTGTGTAGGACCGAAAGGCTGAGGTCGGCCTTATCAAAGAGTGCCAGGAAGCCAGGGTCATGGGGTGGAGAAAGCAAGGAGGGGGCCCGCCTGGGAGAATGGCAAGGATAGAGGCTGCCACTAGAGCCCTTGACTTCTCCAGGAGGCAAAGGACGTGGAGGGCTGGCCAGGTTTCAAGGGCTTGGCTCCTGGCTGACAGGGTCCTTGATTCTCTGATGTTTTTCATATGAAGTTACGCTGCAAGATCTGAAGGCAATCTAGAGATTTCAGACACGATTTACACACAGGTAATAGCATTGAATAAGTGACTTTTAAAGATTAATTCTTAGAGCATAACTGTGACATTGATGTTTACATTTTCAAAAAATCATCAATTTTGATAAGATCATTTTGCATTTCTATTTACCAGTGACAATTAAAAAATAATAGTGCAACAGATAATCAATATTTGGGAAATGAAAGAGAGCTATTAAAAGAAAAATTTAAATTCATAATAGGAAAAAACAGAATAAATGGAGAGATAAAGAAATAAAACTCGAATAAATGGAGAAATATTTTCTGTTCCAGAATCAGAAGATTTAATGAAGTTAACATCATATACTTAATATCCAATCTAATTTATAGAGTTAATAGAAATTAAATTTCAAATATACTGTTTTATGAAAATTGACATAATATATTCCCTAATAAAATTTTTATAATGAAAATAATAGGCTGGGTGCAGTGGCTCACATCTGTAATCCCAGTGCTTTGGGAGGCCGAGGAGGGAGGATCAAAGAAAAGAATAGTTAAGAACACTAAAGAGTTTTTTGAAAAGATGTAAGCCAATGATATGAAAAATTACTCTGTTAATATGTAAAGTATATTTAAAATGTTAACAAAGAGCCAGGCTTGGCGGCTCATGCCTGTAATCCCAGCACTTTAGGAGGCTGAGGCAGATGGATCACCTGAGGTCAGGAGTTTGAGACCAGTCTGGCCCACATGGTGAAACCCCCTCTCTACTAAAAATACAAAAATAAGCCAGGCGTGGTGGCACATGCCTATAATCCCAGTTACTCGGGAGGCTGAGACATGAGAATTGCTTGAGCCCAGGAAGCAGAGGTTGCAGTGAGCTGAGATTGAGCCACTGCACTTCAGCCTGAGCAACAGAGTGAGACCCTGTCTCAAACAAAATAAAAGAGATATTGATATGATATTATATGATAAATTGTATGAATTGGATTCAAAGCACAACAGTAGATTGATTAAAAACACAACAGCAATTACAATTGTTCTTTTTTAATGTTTTAATTTTTTAATAAATAAATTTATTTATTTCTTAGAGACTGAGTTTTGTTTTGTCACCAAGGCTGGAGTTCCAGTGGCACAGTCATAAGCTCACTGCAGCCTCAAAATTCCAGTCTCACGGGACCCTCCCACCTCAGTCTCCTAAGTCGCGAGGACTACAGGTATGCACCATCATGCCATGCTAATTTTTAAAAATTTTTGTAGAGGCATGGTTCTTACTATTTTGGTCTGGCTGGTCTCAAACTCCTGACCTTAAGTGATCTTCCTGCCTTGGCCTCTCAAAGTGCTGGGATTACACACATGAGCCACGGTGCACAGCCCCAGTGGTTCTAAACTTGATAAAATGTTAATAAAAAAAATAGTCTAGGATAACAAAAAAATAAGAAAGGAATCATATTTAATAGATGCAATTGAGAAAAGTTGATATAAAAATACTTATGTCCTCTGATGTCATTTATTATAATAATCTCCAGATGTTTTAAAGAATTAATATTGAAAATACCTCTTTTAAAAGTTAAACTAATTAGTATATATAAAATAGTTAGCCAACTATGGTGGGTAAATTAATTTTGCAACTATGAAAGCATAGGCTAGGGCCAGGCGCTGTGGCTCATGCCTGTAATCTCAACACTTGGGGAGGCTGAAGTGAGTGGATCACTTGAGGTCAGGAGTTTGAGGTCAGCCTGGCCAACATGGTGAAACCTCCTCTCTACAAAAATACAACAATTAGCTGGGCATGGTGGTGGGCAGCTGTAATCCCAGCTATTAGGGAGGCTGAGACACAATAATCGCTTGAACCTGGGAGGTGGAGGTTGCGGTGAGAGGAGATGGTGCCACTGCACTCCCCTAGGTGACATCCCCTGGGAGATGGAGTGAGACTCAGTCTCGAAAAAATAAATAAATAAAATAAAGCAATAGGGTAAATAATAAATGGCAAATTGGAAACAGTAACAATCAATTCACGATAAAAAGGAAAGAATGCAAAACTATTTGAAATAAAGCTGGTAAAAATTAATATTAAAAATATAAAGAAGAATTACAAATCTATAGGTCAATACTTCTCTGCTAAACAGTTAAAGGATATGAACAAATAGTATAAGAGGAAACACAAGCATGAAGCCAACATTTGGGAATATTTTGGTCTTGCTAATAATGAAAGTGTGAATTAATAAAAGTATAAGTCTTCCAGGCCAGGTGTGGTGGCTCACACCTGTAATCCCAGCACTTTGGGAGTCCAAGGTGGTGGATTACTAGAAGTTGGGAGTTCAAGACCAGGCTGACCAACATGGTGAAACCCCATCTCTACTAAAAATACAAAATTAGCCGGGTATGTTGGCGCATACCTGTAATCCTAGCTACTTGGGAGACTGAGGCAGGAGAATTGCTTGAACCTGGGAGGCGGAGGTTGCAGTGAGCTGAGATCACGCCATTGGACTGCAGTGTGGGCAACAAGAGCAAAACTCCATCTCAAAAAAAAAAAAAAGTCTTTCATACGAAATACTTGTATTTCCTATCTATTGAAGTAGCATAGTGACAAAATTCCATGGTAATGTGAGGGAAATAGACACGCTCCTAGATTGCTGTTGTGTTTTCTGGACAACAGTGTATCAAAATGAAACACAAGCTACTAAGAAAATTATAGTCTTCTTTAAGGCAATATGCCCAAAGGAATAACACTCAGGAAAGTAATGTAGAAGAAGAAAGGTTATTTGTATGAAAATAATTGTAGCCACATTATACTGGTGAAAATCTGGGGATTACCGAACTACCTAACAACTTGATAATTGTGATAAAAACTAGAAAATATTAATATGTGGTCATATTAGTAACTACTAAGGCCATAAACCTAAGGACTTTGACACTGTCACACGTAGAATGTTTAAATTAAAAAGTGGAATGAGGCTTGGCACGCCTGTAGTCCCAGCACTTTGGGAGGCCAAGGTGGGTGGATCACTTGAACCTAGGAGTTTGAGACCAGACTGGGCAACATGGCAAAACCCTGCCTCTACAAAAAATTTAAAAATTAGCTGGGTGTGCTGGTGCATGCTGTAGCCCCAGCTGCTTGGGAGGCTGAGGTGGGAAGATCACCTGAGCCTGAGAAGGTCAAAGCTGCAATGAACCTGATCATACCACTGCTCTCCAACCTGGGGGAGAGACTGCGATCTTGTCTCCACAAAAAGAAACAAAAGTGGAATGAGTTTGTTATGTGGACATTGATAATAGGCAAATTATGTTTGTCTAATAAGAGCAAAAGTGCTCCCAGTGTTCCTCAGCGATCTCAATCAGTGCTTCTCAGACTTTCATGTGATTAAATCAAGTGATCTGTCATGCTTCCATATATGGCTTCCATATTGGAAAGTTTATATTATACGACAATTCCATTATCGTAGAAAGTTCTATCGGACATTGTTTAGCTAAATCATTAATGTCTCAAAGTGAGGGGGATTTTACATCTTTGTTTCGGTAGAGTTGTTTGAAACATACAATCAAGAGCTTGTTGCATTCCTTTGTAGTCTCAAGTAAGTATGTGCTTTGGTATACAGACATAAAGAAATACAGCAGTGAGCAGTGTTGTGTAATGAAAATGTTAGGAAAATGGAATTCTTTTGTCCTGTTGATTTTACTGCAGTCCTGGATGTGTCTTCATAAGTTGTTGTAAGTTTCTTGATAGGTAACCATTTTTAATAGATTTAGTTTCTTTGCCAGTCTTTTCCTCTTCTGAAGTTTCTGAGCGATACACAAATTATAACTTAATGTATACTAGGGGAGATGCTGTTTAAAGAAGTATTGCAATAATTTAGACTCAGATATATGTATATATTTGAAGAAGATAACACCATATTCTCGTCTATTTGATTCATGAATTTATTTTACTAAAGTGTATTTGGCCAGGTGCAGTGGCTCATACCTATAATTCCAGCACTTTGGGAGGCTGTGGCGGGTGGATCACCTGAGGTCAAAGAGTTCAAGACCAGCCTGGTCAACATGGTGAAACCCCATCTCTACTAAAAATACAAGAAATTAGCCAGGCGTTGTGGCGTGTGCCTGTAGTCCCAGCTACTCGGGAGGCTGAGTCAGGAGAATTGCTTGAACCCAGGAGGTGGAGGTTGCAGTGAGCCAAGATAGCGCCATTGTACTCTAGCCTGGGCAACAAGAGAAACACTTGGTCTCAAAAATAATAATAAAGTTTAAAAAAAGTATTCTTTTTTTTTTTTTTTTTTGAGACGGAGTCTTGCTCTGCCACCAGGCTGGAGTGCAGTGGTGTGATCTTGGCTCACTGCCACCTCTGCCTCCTGGGTTCAAGCAATTCTCCTGGCTCAGCCTCCCGAATAGCTGGGATTACAGGTGCTTGCCGCCATGCCCAGCTAATTTTTTATTTTTAGTAGAGATGGGCTTTCACCATGTTGGCTAGGCTGGTCTCCATCTCTTGATCTTGTGATCCGCCCACCTAGGACTCCTGAAGTGGTGGGATTACAGGCGTGAGCCACCACGCCCGGCCAAAGTGTATTCTTTAAGCAGAACCGACCTGTGTCTGTTATCAAAGGATACGGGCATGGGTCTTTGCTAACTGAAAGTTTTATGGCTGATTTCTGTTTCTTTACATCTGTGGAGTAGAAATATTGACGATTGTCGTGTTTTCTTTCAGGAATTTATGCAAATATTCTCATGAGGTCCTCTCAGACGATAACTTCAGAGTCCTGAAAATGCATGAACTTTCTGGACTTAACCAAGAGGAATTAAAAGTGCTCCTTGTCCAAAGTGATCCTTTTTTTATGCCTGAGGTAAGTTGTGATTCTTCAGCTTAAGGAGGGAGAATATTACTGTCAGTATTGTATCACAGATATTTTGGAGACATCTGTGATACAGATACAGCAGAGAAAATTCAAAATTAGCACCAGGACTCTGCAGGTGGCAGTTGAGACCGTTGCTGAGTGACGTAAGAGATCCCAGAAATTTCCTATTTGAGGTTTTGTAAGAATTTGAGTCTGGAATACCTCTTCTACCAGGCTGCAAGGGAACCCTGTGTGAGTAATTATGAGCTGAAGATCTGATAGTAGTCAGACTACTTGATGCTTTAAATCAAGGTGGCTTCTTGGAGGAGATGGGCTTTGGAGTGAGGTTTGGAAGATGGCAGGGAAGATGAGCGTATGGGCTAAGCTGTTGTAACAGAGACCCCCTCAAAATACAGTGATTCAAATAAAGTGTAATTTTATTTGACTATCACTTGATAATCTAGGTCAGGGGTCAGCAAGGTACAGCCCAGATGCCAAATCTGGCCTGCCACCTGGTTTTTTTTAGATGGAGTCTTTCTCTGTCACCCAGGCTGGAGTGCAGTGGTGCAATCTCAACTCACTGCAACCTCCACCTCCTGGGTTTAAGAGATTGCTTGCCTCAGCCTCCCAAGTAGCAGGGATTACAGGTACCCGTTACCATGCCTGGCTAATTTTTACATTTTAGTACAGATGGGGTTTCACCACATTGGCCAAGCTGGTCTCGAACTCCCAACCTCAAGTGATCTGCCCACCTCAGCCTCCCAAAGTGTTGGGATTACAGGATTACAGGTGTGGGCCACTGTGCCCGGCCCATTTTTCTAAACAAAGTTTTACTGGAACACAACCATGCCTATTTGTTTATGACTGCCTTCACCTTGCAAGGATGAGCTGAGTAGTTGCAGTAGAAACAGAATGGCCTGCAAAGCCTGAAATATTTCCTATCTGATCCTTTATGGAAATGGTTTCCAACTCTTGGTTTTTCCTAGGTATGGATAGGAGGGTAGCCTGAGTTGTCAGGCAGCTAGACTCAATGATGTCATCAAGGGACTCAGGCCAGTAGGTCAGCTCTGTTATCTTCAAAATGTGGCTTCCATCAATGAATCTGTACTCATCACCATTTTCTAGCCAGTGGGAGTGTAGAAAGGAGGTAAATGGAAGGCAAGCAGTTTCTTTTCTTAAAAGATGTGACATGGACATTTGTATATGGCACATCTGTTCAGTTGCTTTGGCTAGAGATTATTACATGTCGTACTTAGCTGAAAGGGAGTCTGGGAAATGTAGTTTCTGTCTGGGTAACCATGTATCTACCTAAAACTTGGGAGCTTCTATTACTAGAAGAAAGATGGAGACAATGGTAGATAATTAATAGTTTCATCCACTCAGGAATATAGACTTAAGGATCAGAGGATACTGTTTAAAGCCTGGTATCTGGCCTGGTAAAATCCATAAATAGAGAAGTTAGCTTTACAGTTAAAGAGAGGCATAAAACATAATGGAAGACCCAGATGGGTGAGTAGAAAGGATGGGGAAAATGTAAACAAGGTTGAAAATCAGATGCACTTTTTTTTTTTTTTTTGAGACAGGGTCTTGCTCTGTCACCTTGGCTGGAGTGTGGTGGCACAGTCAGGGCTCACTGCAGCCTTGACCTCCTGGTCTCAAGTTATCCTTCTGCCGAAGGCCCCCAAGTATCTGGAACTAAAGGCATGCACCACCATTGCTGGCTATTTTTTTTTTTTTTTAATTTTAGTAGGGACAGGGTCTCACTATGTTTCCCAGGGTGGTCTTGAACTCCTGAGCTCAAGCGATCCTCCTGCCTCAGCCTCTCAAAGTACAGGGATTACAGGCGTGAGCTACAGCACCCAGCTCAGATATACTTTTGTATACAATGAGATAGCTGTTGGGGACTTCTGGAGGCTGAAACACTTTTTGACTCTGAGCTCAGTGTGTTTCCCTAAGAACTTAAAAAACCTATAATATGAGAAGTGATTTTGAGTTGGCCACTGAGCTCAGGAGAGATATGAATGCAAGACACGTTATAAAGACTTGTTGGGTGTTGGGTGGACGGAATATGTCCCATTCCCTCCCCAGCCCCATGCATTCTTCTATCTAGATACTTGGATTTGTTTTTCTGTCTCTCTCCCTTTTTCTCTGTGTCTCTCTGTCTCACTTCCAGGAGCCCAAGGTTTAAAGGTCTTGTCTTGGGATACCCGTGACCTTTGGCCTAGGTGCTAGCCCAGTCCCCATGCCTACTAGCATGGGAAAAATCCTTACACAGCATGGGAAAAATGTCAACCCCATTAAAGCTCCTGCCAACAATCAGAGACATCCCATCCTTTTTCTTTCATTGAGAGAATGACAAGATGAAGTCTTGCAGTGACACGTGAGAGAAGAGCATTTTGTGGCCTATTTTTAGTGTAGTGTTAACCTGGAGGCTTAGAAAGGCCGTTTATTCATCATGTCTGATCCCTGCTTCGGTTCTTCAAAAGCAACAGGTACTTTTTAACATTGGGCCACACATCTATGTTGAGTCCCTGGAGAATAAGCAGACTCTTTCTGTATTAGTCCCTTTTCATGCTGGTATGAAGACATACCTGACACAGGGTAATTTATCAAGAACAGAGGTTTAGTTGGCTCACAGTTCTGCATGGCTGGGGAGGCCTCAGGAAACTTACAATCATGATGGATGGCAAAACAGAAACATCTTACATGGCAGCAAGTGAGAGAAGTGAGTGCTAAGCGAAGGGGGAAGCCCTTTATAAACCATCAGCTGTCAGGAGAACTCATTCACTATCAAGAGAATAGTAGCATGAGGTAACTGCTCCCATGATTCAATTACCTCCCACGACAAGTGGGGATTATGAGAAAAACAATTCAAGATGAGATTTGGGTGGGGACGCAGCCAAACCATATCATTTCCCTTCTCTAGGGAGGAGGTTGGCAGATAGGAACCTATGAGAAGGCGCTGTTGCATGAGGGATACCAGAAGAGCCCATTGACCACAGTGCTGTGAAGGTCCTTCTAGGAAAATGCTCCTATCATGCTTTTATCAAACAGTACAGAGAAGAGGTCAGCGTCATCCAAGTTTCCCTTTCCATTGTTAGAATTCAGTACCCACAATTACAGGGTGAGGTGGGGTGGGGAGGTGCTAGCCTGAAGCTTATTTTTAGCTAATAATTTAATTGCCATTTTCCACTTGTCAGAGTTAAGATCCCAGACTTGGGGGCTGCATTATTTCTTGAACTACAGGTCTGAGGAGCTGGTTTCTGGAGTTAGGATGAGTTGGTATTGTTGGCATAAGTTTTTGTTTGAGAATCCTGGGCAAGAGAAGGCTATAAAGGAGTGTTTTAACTTGGGGGAGTTGGATGGAATTTTTTAGGACTTTAGCAGAAGTCAGCCAGAGTTCAGCTGATTTCAAGAAGAGTTGGTCCAGGATGGCTCTCTAAAGAGGGAGAAATTATCCCTGCAGATTTGCAGCTGTTGTTTGGGCGATTTGGATTTTTTTGTTTTCTTTTTTGTGATGGAGTCTCACTTGGGCGATTTGGATTTTTTTGTTTTCTTTTTTGTGATGGAGTCTCACTCTGTCTCCCGAGCTAGAGTTCAGAGGCGTAATCTAGGCTCACTGCAACCTCCGCCTCCTGGGTTCAAGCAATTCTCCTGCCTCAGCCTCCCAAGTAGCTGGATTATAGGCATGTGCCACCACACCTGGATAATTTTTTGTATTTTTAGTAGAGACAGGGTTTCACCATGTTGGCTAGGCTGGTCTCGAACTCCTGACCTCAGGTGATCCTCCTGCCTTGGCCTCTCAAAGTGCTGGGATTACAGGCGTGAGCCACCATGCCTGGCCAATTTGGATTTTATCAGAGGGATGAGGAAGAAGAGAGGGGTTGAGTTAAGTGCAAGAGGGAGTGTAGAGAAACAGCTCTGTGGTTTGGGGGGTGTGAGATGGGGACTAAAGTGGAATTTTCCAGTCACTTCATTCGTTGTTTTGCATTCGTTCAACTAATATTTAAGAGCGCCTGCAAGTGTTAGGCACTATGTTAAAATACTGGAGGTAAACGGTGGGAAACCACACTTCCTTCCCTAAAGGACTTTACATATTCACACTTTTTTATTTTGCTTTGACCTGTGAGAACATAAAAAGATCAGGCAAACCTGACTGCCTGGTATACAAACTTGTACAATTGAAATGTGCTTATTAAAGAAAGAAATGCTTTCATTTGTTCTGGCCTAATGAAGGCAGGAGCATTCTTGCTTAATATCAGCGTGGGAGTAGGAATGTTACCAAAACATCATTTGTGAAGTTGCTAATGGTGCTTTTTTGCTATAGCTCAAACTTTAGCATACATCAGAATCACCCAGAAGGTCTGTTAAACACAGACTGCTGGGCTCCATCTCTGATGGTTATGACTCTGGATACAGGCAAGTGCCTGAAGATCTGCATTTCTAACAAGTTTACGGTGCTGCTGATGGTGCTGGTCCGGGGGCCACACTTTGAGAATTGCTGGTCTTGAGTCCGGAATCTGGATAATAGACTTGATAACAGTTGCAGATATCTATTTGTTTTATTTTATTTTTTTTGAGATGGGAGTCTTGCTTTGTTGCCAGGCTGGAGTGCAGTGGTGTCATCTTGGCTCACTGCAACCTCCACCTCCCAGGTTAAAGCAATTCCCCTGCCTCAGCCTCCCAAGTAGCTGGGATTATAGGCACGTACCCCCACGCCCGACTAACTTTTTTTATTTTAGCAGAGATGGGGTTTCACCATGTTGGCCAGGATGGTCTCGATCTCCTGACCCCGTGATCTGCCTGCCTTGGCCTCCCATAGTGCTGGGGTTACAGGCATGATCCACCGTGTCCAGCATGTATATCTGTTTGAATCAGATTTTAGTGGTTATCCATGTGGCTAAATCATTGCTAGTGGGGTTTGAATCATGGCTTTGTCCTCTAGACAGATCACAGTGAATCATACTGATCTGGTTTACTCAGAATCTAGTGAAACAACTTACAAATGTTTTAATCATTAAACTGTCTGAAATTCAGGTTTCTTACTCATTATATTGATTTCCTCATTTCATGGTCCAACACTTGCATCACACTTTATATTTTGCATAACACATTTATGAATTTTGTTAGTCTACTTAACAACTTGGTTCATGTAGACAGAACAAATCTTTTCCTCCTGTTACAGCAAAGGAAATGGAGGCTGGGAGTAGGCAAGGGATCCCTTGAGGTCACAAAGCTGCTTCTAGGACCTCAGATTTTAAAACCAACATCCTCCAGTTCTGTATCATATGGCCTGGCCCCAGCTGCAGTATTCTTTCTGCCCTCTTTCCAGTAGGAACTATGTCTCTTCAGAGCTAGTCATGTACCTGTGTCTATTTAGATGGAAATATAAAACTTATCTTCTTTAGGCGACCTTTTGATAAATTTCATTCTGCCCAGCAGAGACTAAATTCTGGATTTCCAAACAGTTGCAGGTAAGACCCATGTGTCCTTTTCATTGCAAAGTGAGTTGATAACCAAAGATGACCCTTCCTGTGCTGGGTTCCTTCATGATATAGGGCTCACTTTGTGTCCTGTTTGTAGCTAACCAGCTTACATTGATTCTTCTAAGGGTTATTAAATTCATCAGTGTCTTTTAGTTAGTCTGTAAGCCTCTTCTTCCCCAAGTAAATCATCAATTGAATGTGACTCATCAAAGATTGCAGAATATGCATGTGTTTTTCCCCCTTTGGTATATCCCTGCTTGCTTCAGAGGTTTTTAATGCATGTGAGCTTGCCTTCACGAATGTTCGGCAGATATAAGAAGGTGTTTTGACTCTGGGTATTGTTTCTCCCTTCTGTAGATATGCAAAAGCTATAAGGGAGAGGGTCGACAGCAGATTTGTAGCCAGCAGCCACCGTGTGCAAGACTCCACATCTGTGACCACTTCACGCGAGGGAACTGTCGTTTTCCCAACTGTCTCCGGTCCCATAACCTGATGGACAGAAAGGTGCTGGCCATCATGAGGGAGCATGGGCTGAGCCCCGACGTGGTCCAGAACATCCAGGACATCTGCAACAGCAAGCACATGCAGAAAAACACCATGGGACCCAGAGGTAAAGGCCATTTGTTTTTCAATTGTGTGAATGTTTTTTTTTTTTTTTTTTGACGAAGTCTCACTCCGTCACCTAGGCTGGAGTGCAGTGGTGCGATCTCAGCTCACTGCAACCTCTGCCTCCCGGGTTCAAGCAATTCTGCCTCAGCCTCCCGAGTAGCTGGGATTACAGGTGTGAACCATCACACCCAGCTAATTTTTGTATAAATTAGAGATGGGATTTCACCGCGTTTGTCAGGCTGGCCTTGAACTCCTGAGCTAAGGTGATCCATCTGCCTCAGCCTTTCAAAGTTCTGGGATTATAGGTGTGAGCCACTGCATCCGGCCAATTGTGTGAACTTTCAAATCAGCAGAAATCACAAGGAAAGAAAAACTTTGCCATAATCACACTACCTTGCCACATAAAACTCTTCATTTTCCCTTCCAAACTTCATGCATATGCATACATCATTTTACATAATTATTATCATAGTATACATGCAATGTTTGCAATTCAATTTTTATGCTTAGCACTATTGCCCCCTGCCCCCCGCCATGTTTAAAAAGCGTATATATCGGCTGGGCGCAGTGGCTTACGCCTGTAATCCCAGAACTTTGGGAGACCGAGGTGGGCAGATCACAAGGTCAGGAGTTCAAGACCAGCCTGGCCAACATGGTGAAACCCCTGTCTCTACTAAAAATACAAAAATTAGCTGGGTGTGGTGGTGGGCACCTGTAATCTCAGCTACTTGGAAGACTGAGGCAGGAGAATCGCTTAAACCCAGGAGAGGGAGGTTGCAGTGAGCTGAGATTGTGCCACTGCACTCAGCCAGGGTGACACAGCAAGACTCCATCTCAACAACAACAACAACAGCAAAAGTATATCATTTTCTAAAGGCTAATTAATAAAGCTTTTTTTTAAGGAAAAGAAACAAACATAAAATTGTTTAGATTTACCAGCTGTTAACATTTTGTCCCAATTGCTTTAGCTCTTTCTTTCTCTACATATCTACATACAGCTACTTACACACATGGAACATTTTGGTGGTTAAAGCATTTGATATACGCAAACATCATGACATTTTACACCTGAATATATCAGCATGTATCTCCTCAAAACAAAGACATTCTCTTACATAATCACAAGACAATTAATACCAAAAATTTATTACTGATGCAAAACTATGTACAATTTAATTTATGGTCCTCAGTGCCATTAAAAAAAAATTATAAATTTCTAAAAAAACACAATAACTCCCATTCTCTGCTTTCCACAGCCCCTGGCAACTAACATTCTGCTTTCTGTTTGTATGAATTTGACAACCCTAGGAAACTCATATAAGTGGAATTGTACGCTATTTATCCTTTTCTGACTGGCTTATTTCACTTAGCGTGATGTCCTCAGGGTTTATCCATGTTATAGCATATGTCAGAATGAATAATATTTCACTGTATGTATATAATCATATTTTATTTATCCAATCATCTGTCGATGGACATTTGGGTCACTTCCAGTTTGAATAATGCTTCTATAAACATGGTGTACAGACACCACTTTGAGAGACTGTTTTCATTTTTTGGGGGTATATAATCAGAAGTAGAATTGCTGAATCATATGGTAATTCTAAGTTTAATTTTTTGAGGAACGATCATACTGTTTTTTCTAGAAGCTGTGCCATTTTTCATTTCTGCCAGCAGTGCCCACAGATTCAAATTTCTCACATCCTCTTTATCATTTTGTGTTTTCTGATTTTCCTAAGGTGTATGAGGTGCTGCTATTACTTTTTGAGATAGTGTCACTCTGTCATCCAGACTCGAGTTGAGTGGTGCGATTTTGGCTCACTGCAATGGCTGCCTCCCAGGTTCAAGTGATTCTCCTGCCTGAGTCTCCCAAGTAGCTGGGATTACAGAGCGCATTCCACCATGCCTGGCTAATTTTCGTATTTTTAGTAGAGACAGGGTTTCACCATGTTGGCCAGGCTGGTCTTGAACACCTGACCTCAAGTCCATCCACCTCAGCCTCCCAAAATGCTGAGATTACAGGTGTGAGCCACTGCGCCTGGCCAAGTGCTGCTATTTCTAAAGCATTTTCATATTATATAATAGCATTTATTTTTAATGTCGTTATGAAAGTGGATGTAGAGAAATTGAATTTTATGAAGCAGGTAGAATACAGTGTTCTAAGATTCTGTGCAAAGTATTGAACAATTATACCTCCTTATATTTGGGAAGTGGTTTATCATTAACAAGGGACTTTCACCCCAGATAAATATCTTGTCATCATTCCTTAAGGTGGAACCACAAAGAAAGGCAGATATATCATTTATTAGCCTTACCTAAGCGGATAAAGAAACTGAGGCTCAGAAATTTTAAGCAACTTTTATTGCAAGCAGCCTCAGATCATAAGAATGAAGGATAATGTAAGGAAGAAATAAAAGGTCACATTTTCAAGGCCTCACGCCACTAGAAAGTAGCAGAGTGCATGTTCTGATCCCGTGTCCAATGCTTTTTCTCCCAACTGGTCTCTGAACAGGGGAGTGTCTTGACAGGTGGGTTTTGGTGTAGTTTCTCAATGTAAACTTATTGTGAGTGAGGAAGATCTGCATATATTTTCCCTTCTAGTTCCTCTCCTGAGTTAAGCCCTTTCTTGATAGGAGGAGGCTATTTGCTTTTATTACATTACTGCTGCCCCCTGGGTTTGGAAGAGAAAAAATGTCTCTTCTTATCTCTTCCCTACACACAAAAACACAACTCACACTGGTGTACCCGAGCAAGTCAAGGATTGTGCCACACACTGAGATTGAATTATGAGTCCTTTATTAAGCCGGCGACCAAGAGGTGGCTAACGCCCAAAATTCTCTCGGCCCCTAAGAAAAAGTTGGGTGGTTTTTTATATCCCAGTTTTAAAAGGGAGGGGGAACTTAGCTGAAGCAAATTTTTCACAAAAGCAGAGTAAGCAAAAAAGTTAAAAGATAAACTAGTACATGAGAAATAAAACAGTGCCAGGTGCGAGGGGTAAACTTGTCATGAAAGACATAGAACTTACAGATAATGGGGGCTCTGGGCGCTCGACAGCACCTGCATTCCCAGGCTCTGCTGCTACCCCTTAGCTCAGCCTCTTATCAACAAATGCATTCCTGGAGGTGCCCAGTGTCAGCCTGCCCCAGCTGCATACTACAGTTACATACTTAATGGTGGGAAAATAACGAAAATGAAGAAGCTAAGATGGAGTCTGT